TTGGAGACATTGATGCATGGTTTTAAATTTCCCTGGCAAGTGAATTGTTAGCGTTACTTGCTAAGTCATCATTATTATGACCGTTTAGACTTGTGGTAAAACATTTAAACAATCCCCTTACATGAAGGATTAAACCTGGATGCAAAACATGTCCAGTAGCATTTTGTGGTGAGATACTTTAGATTATGCCAAAGTTGTGTGCAATTACTTGTGGACACAGTTAAACTTGTGTTTTTCGTAGAAATAGTTTTCCACATCATAAAAAAGTGAGTTTGACTTCACATCTTACGTGCTTTTTCTAACATGATCTTTCTTATAAAAATGTGTGCCACAATTGCAAGATTTATTAGTTGATTTTCAACTTTTCAGTTATATTGCAGCTGTTTTTTTACAGTCCTTTTTGCTACATTTCTCAAAATCTGTTGCCATTTATGTGTGCTAACATATATCACAACTGTGCTTTAAGTGTCCCAAGTTGCAGACTAGGGCTGCACAACATATTGATTCATCATCAGTGAATGAAATGTGCAAATTGTCAATAGACACATTGCAGGATCTGCAAGTTGTAGGGCTGCACACTTAATCGAAAAAAAAAATTCTTGATTCGACCCCCCACACAATCTTAATCCAGCATCTCTACGATTCAGACAATTATATTTTCAAATTCGGGAGAAGACAAAAAGGCAGATGCACAAGTCTTCACATTATTTAAATACATACCTCCAAATGGGGTTAAAAGTGCCATACTGTATTTATAAGAAATAATTCACCTCAAAATGTAATGTGATGTATTTGTTTACTGTTTGTTTACTACCGAGAGTATGCTCATATGACCACGATTGATTTCTACTTTAGTGAACAGAACCTGCATAGGCTGTGAATAACAGATAATAAATTTGTAAATAACGCTCAGTTTGTTGCACAGTGATCGTTTGGGAGCCGCGCGGGAGATATGATTTGCATGTACGTTTTTTTTTCCCTCAGAGAGACAGTAGCCATGACATGAGTGCACTCGGCAGTAAAAGTGAAACGGAAAGCGCTTACGTCATTTAAATGATTATATCGCATTTTAAATTTATGATTACGACAAGCATTTAATATGTTTTTTTTTTCTTTCATGGCAAACACAACATATTGTGCATAAAAAATAAATGATTGCAAGGTCAATACAACTACTCTAGCCATATAAAGTTAAATATAATGCAAGAGGGAATCTGATAATGACAAATGTCTCATTTTACCAGTGAAAAAAATGTTTTAATAATATTGTCAATGACAAATGGCAAGCATATGTCTCAAACATAATAATTCAACTTTATAATTATAAATAGTTGCATTCTGATGTAATCATTTGGTAACACTTTATTTTGAAGGTCCATTTGAGAATTAGTAGTCTGTCTGCTTAATATCTGCTGATACTGCTCCTTCAACAGACATTTAAATGACAATAAGAAACTTCATGTCAGCTTACACTAAACCTAACCCTAACCCCAACCTAAAAGTCTACTTATAATCTAATGAGAATTAGTTGGCATGTAGATGCAATGTAACTCAAATTCAACAAACCAAGGATCAAAATAAAGTGTGACCAATCATTTTATTGGCATAAACGGCCACAACAAATTTAAAGTCTATTCAAGTCCACCATTCCAAGTCTTTGCACAATTTAGCATTTTAACTAACAGTAGAACGAGACATAGGCATAATATTGTTATTGTTTAACCATATTGTAATGAAGTTTACGGCCCTTTGGCCTCCGGGAAGAAGGAGGCGGAGAATATTTTAATTAAGAATTAAATATTCTTAATTAAATATTAAGAATATTTATTTATAACATGAATGGCTGCTCTTCACGGAGACTGCCGTCTAAACCAAAACAAACGCACAGCAGTTCCTCAAGGAGACTGCCGTCAAACTGAAAGCAAAAGTAAAACATTATGTCCGGGCCCGGTCCTCTCTCGGCTTCCTCTACCATCGTTCCTCCTCTTATAGTCCAGAGCTCCTTCCGTGGGATTCGAGGCCGGTGCGCACCACTGGTGCATAAACTTACGCGGCGGCCTCATTCCGTTCCCACGGCGCTTGGCTGCGCCCCCTCGCCACACATATGTTTTAAGAAATAAAATTAAAAATAGCCAACTCAAATTAACCTATTAAAAAAACAACAACTTCTATTTACATTAATGAACCAACCATTATAAACTGTGTAAACCAGCCACCCACAACACCCTAGCAGTGTACCTAAAGCAGGGGTCTCAAACTCAAATTGCCGGGGGGCCATTTCAGTGACTGAAAATTCATAGCAGGGTCGTTTTAACATTTAAGCACAAGAAAAAAAGTGAAGTAATTAATCTTAGGAAAACAGACATGATGTTTATAATTCAAGCATTACCTTTCACAAATCAACAAATCAGCATGTTTTTTGCTTCACACAACTGCTGAAATATATCTGTGGCTGTTTAAATTAGCATTTTGACATTTAAATAGTCATAATAATGATATAATAATAATTATTATTCTGTCCCAACCAATTGTTGCTTGACCAAAAGTTGAACAGATAGCGCAAGAACAGCAGAAACAGTTTGGGTAACTTAACTGGCAATTGTTCTTCTCTGTATCTCTCAATTCAACCAGCAGTTTTCATAGTATTCTCAATGCACATATGAGGAAAATCTATTAAAAGAGACCATTTAAAACAAATATTAGCAAAATTTGCATATTTGTTACACCACCAGCATAACGTGTAAGCCATGAAAAAGTGTTTGTTCAACAAAATACAGGTAGTATAAAACTGATGATAATCAAATGACCCTTAAATACTTACAAATATAAAGCTTGTAAAAAGTAAAAATAGAGTAAAAATAGAGCACTTTTATATAAAAGTTTAAATCAGCCACAGAATTAAAACGAAAGTAAAACTGAAAAACGGTATAATATAGTGCAGTACTTTAAACGTCCAATAGGTGGGGGGTCAAAACCACAAGTGACCATATGCACAACAACGATAGTGATTCAAAAACATATTTTGGGCGGCTGAATCTTGTCAGTCAGGAGTTTGAGATCCGTGACCCCACACAGAACACCTTCACAATTTTTGCACACATTTTAATCACAAATTGCTAAATTCTAGCGGAACATTTTATCTCAAGGACGTAACCAGCAGGCATTTGATCAACACTACTTCAAAAAAACCTAATCACGTTATAAAGAGTTGTTTCCTGCAAAATAACCCTTGCCGGACCTCTTCTGTGACAAATGAACCAAACTGAGTGCAAGACAGGCAAAAGTTGGTAGTGTATTTAGTGCGCTCTTGCATGGCAAACTGGGTCAAAGGATTACCAGCAGGCTATAAAAAGATGCCTTTTTGGCCACAGACGAATTCAAGGCTGTAGATCTGAATAGTGTGTTTATGTGCACACGAATACAAGTGTGTAAAGGGGGAGGTGTGTTTTTGTGCCAAGCATATGGCCGTAGGGAGAGAGAGAGAGAAGGGGACAAGCAATAATCCCTCTGCAGTCATGCCATGGTCACTTGTGTTTTCTGTGTGTGTGTGTGTGTGGCCGGTGGGTGTCGAGGGTTGTCTGATTTGGTTCTTCTGGCTTGCGGTGAGGATTAGAGCTCTGGAGGGCCGTGCGTGTTCACTTGACAGACCTCTTGTACTCCCTTAACTTTAAAACAGTTAGACACAAGGCAGCAAAAAACAACAGACATTTGTCTAAGTGATCTTAGAGACAATTACTTTTTCTTGTGATAAAATATGTTTATTACAATTTTTAAAAGTCAATTAGTAAAAATATAATGCTTAAAATGGAGCTTTTTAGTAGTGCAGAAAGTGAGGAATGTTTATGATGTACATAAAAAGGACATCTAAAACAATTCAATACTAATTAATAGGTAATAAACAATAAAATAACTTCTTTAAAATGGACTATTTGTACAAATATAATTTTTCATAAATTTTCATGCAGTAATCACCCTTTTGTCAATATGTGAAAAGCTTGTAACAAATTAACTTTATGTGAACAATGTTCGGGATGATTTGGCTTTAAATATATGTGATGAACTCCCATCCTTTTCATTCTATGACATCTGAAATAAACGTCAATGAAATCTTAATGTATCATGCGATACTACAGTCAGACTATATTTCACAAAGACCTAAATGGTCTGTAATCTCAAATATACTTTAGAATCAAATAATCATAACGGTATATTTTTCAATTCCTAGTCCGTCAACGTGATGCAGTTCACAGAACAGCTACAGGTGTCGCTAATGCATTTTTCCAATTCTACATCTAGACGTTAAAAAGCATACAATCTACAATCACTAACAATAACTTCAATTATATTCCAGTTTAAATGCAAAACCAACTACTATTTAATATAAAATACACAAAAAACAACAAGAAAAATATCATAATAACTAAAAATACAAAACGTCTCGTATAATATTTCCTGTGTAATTAAGATCAGTGGTCCCAAACCCCCCTAGGCCGCGGACCGGTACCAGTTTGTGGATTAATTGTTCTCAGGCCACACAAGAAATCCTTAATTATTTATTATGCGAGTCTGAACAATCTTTTATTTTGAAAACTCTTTTATTTTCTCGGGTTACATCTCGGTCACTTGAGTGCCAAAGTTTAACCCACAAGCAGCAAAATAAGGAAAAAACAGATGGCCCAATGAAGGACACGTGAACTGCCAAGGAATGGATACGCAACTCATTTGTCAACATATCAGGTGAATCCAGCATGTCTGTGCAAGAAAAAGATCAACTGCTGGAGATCGCAAATGACAGCCGATCGCATATTGCATCTTTTCCGCACGCAACTTTGTTATTTCCAGTGGAGGTGTGCTGCTTGAGCGTGCTCATAAGAGCGATGCGTGCCAGGCACACAGTTTCGCGAGTCATGGACAAGAACTGACCGATCAGCTTCATACTTTGTATGGATTATACACATTTCGGTAGACTAATTACTTTTAACAAACACAGAACAACCAAACATTGCAGTACTTTTTATTTTCTCCATAAATTAAACTTGTATCAGAGTTACAGCAATGTTTGGTCAGCTTGTCATCTTCTGAGAAAATGGTTGATGGTCCTAGCAATCTACGTAGAATCCCTCGGGCTGCTGTAAAATTGTTAGGTCTTGACCTAAGAAGGTTGGGGACCACTGCTTTAGATAGCTCTGTCATATAAAAGCGTAATTGATTTATTTATTTTTTTATAAAAGCTTATGTGGAGGCTTATTAAATAAAACTGCTTTATTTACAATAGTCTTTATTATGCTGTGGTACAACTGTCCGTATGGAAAGTGGCGTACTGTACACTGCACATACTGTACCTTCCAGCAGTGTGTTCGATTTAACTGACCTTGCTACTAACCCAAACCCGTTGAAACTACAAGTAAAGGCAGTTGCCCTGAGGAACACAGGGAGATGTAGTCCATAAACAAGCCTTAAGCGTGTGCGGGTCGATCATCGGTGCGAGGGGCTCTCCAGATGTCCTCTCCAGCGTTCGATGCCTGAGTTTCGGGCAGGTCTTCTGGGGTCTCTGGAGGCTTTAAACTGAGCCTCCAACTCCTCCACCCATGCTGTGCTCCAGTCCCACACGGGCAAAGGCTCCACCTCTCCAAAACACTCTCTCGGGGGGAACAGGACACTCAGAGGGGACGCAGGCGGGGAAAAATCTGCACGATCACACACACATCACGAAGCAGATTAAGAGCGATGTATGCGCACACATGCACATAGGTGCAAAATACACAAAGGCAATCTGTTAACACGCATAAAGATGCACAAGTCAATTTGACCATAATAACACCGGATGAAAGCGCACAATGCTGCCGGCCACATCGGTTTACAATGTACTAGTCATTTAACCTGATGCATTCGCTTAGATTGAAAGATAGACGGAGGGAGAGCGAAAGGGGGAAACAATCAGCAAATGGAGAGAGGAAAGTCCCTGTAGGTTTCTCTTTTGAAAGCCGTGATTGATTTGCTGAAACTTCAGAGCGGACGGTGGGGGAGCGCAGACAATTTGCAGACAGGCCCTCAAATCCCATTATTTTTTATTGTAGCAAAGCAGCGCTGCTATTTTTCACTGTCTCATTGGGAAGCGTGATGCTGCAGTGCCTCGCCAATGTGATCTGACAATGGAAATTCTCATCCCAAATACAAAGTTCTCCCCCTTTGGTTATGCAATGATCATGAAGGCACTTAAGAGACACTTCAAATAGTCTGAATGCGGTTGCATTAGATAACACGATATCAGATCAGATGATGACTCAGAGCTGTTGCATTTTATTTTGTTGTTGTTATTTTTAATCCACTGGTCTCATATTAACCGTTAAAATGTTCCATTCAAATCTGTCAACCTGAAAACATCCAAAAAATTTTGCCTTCATTTTTCTCTACCAAAAGCCTTTTTTGTCCAGTATTTGCTCCTTATATCTTTCGATTAGAATAAAAGCCACATATATTTTGTGGAAAGCAATGATGTTCAGATATCATTAAGTGAGAATAAAGTCCCTAGATACTTTGTAGCCACTGTTTGTCATAACACGTAATTATGTACAATTCCAAAGGAACTGAATTGAAGCAAATATTTGCATAACGTGTTTGTTGACTATGCAAATGAGATAGAATAATTTTACAGGACTGAAGAGCTGAGAAGCGCGTGACTGACAATGACAAACTAAGAAAAGCTGGAAAGCAGCTAAGAAAAGCACAATGTGATTCAATTCAGTTTGTCTTAATTTCTTTAGTGCTTTTACAATGTACAGATGAAGTCAGAATTATTAAACCCCTGAATTATTAGCCCGCCTGTATATTTTTCCAACAATTTCTGTTTAACGAAGAGATTTCTTCATCACATTTCTAAATATAATAGTTTTAATAACTCATTTCTAATAACTGATTTATCTTTGCCATGATGACAGTACATGATAATATTTGACTAGATATTTTTTCTAAACACTAGTATGCAGCTTAAAGTTATTGTATAACGATGGTTTGTTCTGTAGACTATTGAAAAGAAATATAGCTTAAAGGGGCTAATAATTTTGATCTTAAATAAAAAATAAAATAAAATAAAAAACTGCTTTTATTCTAGCCAAAATAAAACAAATAAGACTTTCTCCAGAAGAAAAAAAATTTGATCAGACATACTGCGAACTTTTCCTTGCACTGTTAAACAACATTTGGGAAATATTTAAAAAGAAAACAAAATTGAAAGGTGGGCTAATAATTCTAAATTAAACTCTAGATTGTGTCAAAGCAACTTAACAGAAGTTCTAGTAAATTAAAACTGTGTCCGTCCAGTTTTCAGTTCAGTTCAGTTGGTTTAATTTTCACTGCTGAAAGTCCAAACACTGAAGAGCAAATCCATCGATGTGCAGCCCCGAACCAAGCAAGCCTGTGGCGACAGTGGCGAGAAGCAAACTTCACCAATTGACAAAGTGAAGGAAAAAAAAAACTCAAGAAAAAACAGGCTTAAGATTCAAGTGATGACACTTAAATCTTATCGGATTTATAAATAACTTATAAGTAGAGCCAGAAGAAATTTGCAGAATTTGCAGTGGCAAAAACTACATACTGTGCCTGTAGCAAAAAACAGTAATTACATTACATTAATCTTAAATATTCAATACATTAACATTCTAATGAAATTTTAGATTTATTGCCAATAATAATGGTTTCCCAATAGTGTTTCTAAAAAAATAAAATAAAATCAAACATGATAATTTTTAGCTCTGTTTTAGGTCATTTCTACTGAGCTTTAAACTAGTTTCATGTGTTTGTATCAGAGAGTTATGTAACAAACTCAAAAAGTGTTGTTTAGTGCTCATGTAAAGAACTGCTTATGTAAATTACAGAGCAATTACAAAATACGACCATTTATTCTACATAACAAACATTTAATGAATAAACCCAAAAACCTGATTTTCTTGAATGAATAAACCTTTAAAAACCTGACTTTGTTCAAAATGGGAAGTGAGAGTTAGTGTTAGTTCACTGAAAAATGTAAATGATGTTATTCATTTCTCACCATGTCAAACCACTAAGACCTTAACTCATCTCCGCAACACAAGTGAGGATAATTTAGCTGAAATCTGAGGTCTCGAATTCTCCATACACGGTAATAAATTCTGGGATTCACACAATTGATTTGTGTTCGGACAAAATGGAGAAATTAAGTTATTATTATTATATTTTTTTTTACAAATGTAAGATTGAACATAAAACAATTAAGTCTGTCGGAAATAAGCTTCAAGAACTGTGTTGTTCCATCACATTTTAAAGAAGTGGTTTGAATAAACAGCAAATGTCTTAGTCTGAGTGTAAACTGCAATGGTCTCGACATTCAACTTTCAGAAAAATACCACAAAAAAAAAAAAAATGCTCAAAACAGACAATATGCCTTCAGTGGTTTAATCGGAAACTACAAAAATACGTTTGTGCATGCATAAAACAAAAATAACCACTTTATTCAACAGTTTCTTCTCCTCAAGGTCAGTATATTTTGCTCTTTAATAACAATAATTTATAACTATATGAAATAACAATGTAATATACATGTAAAAGTTGAGATCTGGGAATAATATACTTTTATTTGAACTTGATTTAAATTATTTACACTTATTTATGTAGTTGTTTTATTTTTAAGCATTATTTTATTTTGGACTGAATAAAAACTGGCCATTTTCAAGCATTTGCACACTAGCACAGCTTTTGAATCTGGCCCGATTGATAAACCTAGAGAGCTTGGCTACACAGGGAAATTGTTCCACCTAGTGGCCATTTCTGGCATCTACCTCAGCACTTGCTGCTAGCAAACCTGCTACTTGAATATTCATATAGACACTTCATTCTAGAGATGCTGAAGAAAATTTATAACTTACCTGATAAATTACCGCTCATGGATTCAGCAGTCAAAGCCAGGACGCGGGCGAAGTTGGCATCATTTATAAAGGAGCAGTCCGAGGAGCTGATGATGCTGGTGCGAGCGCTCGTCACGTTGCTCTCAGACACCGAACCCCAGCCATTCCACAATGAACCCTCCCATTCGCTGCAGCAAGAGGACGGTGTGCTCCTTAGAGTGGCTCTCCTGAGGCCGATCGGCACTGTCTCCTGCTCCTCATCCATCTCCCGGTCCCCAGGCCCACAGATATAGCCCAACGTGGGTGTAGGAGAGAACGGACGGGGCATTGATGGAGTACTCTGATGGGATGTGCTGAAGGAAGACATCAAAATAAGTCCTAGTCTTTATATATGACTGACTACTGTATTTGCGGCGACTCTTTAAATACATTCATACAAAGTGAGTTATTTAAAATCAGCTCAGCGACCAAATATTGCAAATGTGGAAGTAAAATGCGGATTTATTAGCAAATTTAACTTGTAAAACTGCGTATTTGTAGGCTTCAGAAAATCTTTAACTCTCATTCTTTTCTTTTTTTTTATCCTCGTTTTGTATTTGTTTTCTATTTCTTTAAAATTAGCTGAAATGACAAAGTTATTTTTTATGTTCATTCTACTTAAATTAGTTACGTTAACTTAACAGATTTGGGTTAGGTTGTGGAACTCTTTTTTTTTTTTTTTTTTTTTTTTTTGCAGTGTATTTTGGATAGCGCAATTCACACACACTGGCAATTTAATTTAGCTTATTTTACCAGCAATGGAAAATCATTAGCTTGGTTTCCGTCCTAACATGAAGCAAATAAGATAAAATAAGCATTTTTAATTCTATGTTTAGTGCATCCATCAATTCTTTCTCTTGCGATATTTCAAAATGTGCATCAAACCTTTATGATGGAAACCCAGCTCTGTCTTGATTACAAAAACACTCCTCAACTTTTGTTTATTAGTGTTTAATTATAATAAATAGTTTAAAAGGACAGCAGTTATTTGAATAAATGAATGAGTGAGAGATTGTGCCTGCGTCTTTAAAACTAATGTAGGTAAAATTCCTCTGAAAATAGGGGAAACCACATTGTGTAGCTTTTTAGTTTGCTATTGAAGCTACTTTATGAATAATATCACGCTAGTAGCATGGATGGCAAGATTTCCAATATGAGTGTTTGTGTCTGTGATCTGTTTGAGTGTGTGTGATCTTTGAGAAAGTGATGTGTGTTTGTGCTTATCAATTTCAACTGACAGGAACTACTGTATCTATCCCATTTATGGCAGTCAGTGTTCATATTGTGGTCAGCCATCACAAAATAAATCAATATATGAGAGACACTTAGGTGTTCTCTCACCTCTGTCCCTGTGGTTTGGGACTGATCTCCATGTATTGAGTGTGTCCCTGAGTGCTGAGGGTCGTGTCCTGGTAGTCATCGGTGGAGAGGCAGAAGGAGGCTGTGGACAGATGGCTATAGGATGGGCTTAGCTGGGCTGGACTGTGGTTGTTTGGACAGCCTGTATTGGCTGAAGCTGGACCCTGGAGCCCAGATGCAGCACATACAGACTGCTGAGAACCAATGTCCACTGTTAGCTTGGTGGATCTGGTAGACCTGAGGGATCAGAAATATAAACAAATGAACTTGCTTATTGTGTTACCTTCCTGACTAGTTACTAGTTTTAGACTAGTGTAACCCCACCGGTCCTAAACCACCCAACCCTCTCCAAACTGGGATCAAACTGGTGACTTTCCGCATGGGAGTCAGTCGCTCTAACAAGGAGGTTAAAGACCATGGCCTCTAGCGTCTGTCGCTAGAGCATCTTTTCGAGTTCAGAGGAGTGAGGTTTACCTGCACAGCACTTCACTAGCTGGCTCACTAGCTGGCTAGTTACACTACACACCTCCTAAACCTCACTCCCATCCGTGTCATGGCACCAATGTAACCCCGTCAGTCCTACACCACCCAACCCGCTCTGAACTGGGATTAAACATTTCGGCAAGGGAGTTGGTTTTTTGAAAATTTTTCAGTGAACATCTGAGCATCGCTGATTTGCCATTATGTTCATGTGCTCAACAGAAATGACTGTGATTGGCCGTGATAAACAGCACTGATTTGCCATTGTGTTCACATGCTCAACACAAATGACTGTGATTGGCCCTGAAGGTCATCAGTTCACCAAACGCACAGCTGTTTACTGTGTGTAACCACAAATAAAGGCACACTGGAGCGTTTTATAGCCGTGATTCATCAGCGGATCGCTCATATGTTAGCTTATAGACAAACCAGCTGATCGACGGGACTTTGAAACACTTCAGTGTCCCTGCATCTGTGGTTGTATTTGAGTTTGGTGAATCGATAACCTTCACAACCAATCAGTAAATTCTGTTGAGCATGTGAACACAATGGCAAATCAGCGCTGTTTAAGAACGTACTCCACAGCGCTCAAATGTTTGCAGGAAATAGATGTTTTAAAATTTCAGTACCGTTGGTATCGAATTCCAGTATCGTGACAACCCTACTAGGACACTTATTATTCATATCTATTTCACTGCTAATTGCTAATGCTAATTAATAATTTGTGGCCAGCTTTTTTCCCTGCATGTTTATCATGAGGATTTTTATCTTCTTAAACCCGTTTTATTTTGGAATTTCTGCCTGAATTTTGCCTACCCAAATTTAAAAGCTTACCAAATCCACATGCAGAGGTTTTGGTATGCAGAAGAATTTGGTATCATTTTAAAGAAAACCCTTTGACTTTTCAATAAACACTATTGAAAGTGTTTAAAATAACTGTATATGTTGCCTGTGTTATAATAAGCGCCTAAAAAAAGAGGCAGTTTTTGTATTTTTTTTTTATAAACTCAAATTTGAAAGTGTACCTTTTAGGTTCTGTGTGGTCTAGGTTACTGTAATACATTTTGGTGGTTCCTGCACATGTCTATAATCATAGGAAAAAGAAAAATGTCTCTACCTTAATCTATGCAAAAGTTATTGTATTCCAACTGATGAGAGGTGCTATACGTTTTCATATGTTTTCATATTTTACTATTCTTTTGTTTAATTAACATAATTCATTGTGTTTGGACCACGTAAGACATATAATTGATTACCTATGCACATCACCTCAAAAACAGAGGAGAAATGGCCCTGAAGCGCGCAGCATAAGGTAGGAGATAACAGCTTTCTGTGCTATCTGAGGCTGCTTACTGATCATAAATGTATTGGTTTCATTTCTGCGCCATGGAAACAAGCTGATTCATTCGACAACTGTTATATGTGAATATAATTCAGTAAAAAGAATGCTAGAACCGTACGAGCACCGGTAAGAGCTTGCATTTGAGCTATAACTTGTACATGTATTATATATGAACCATATGAAAAATATGAAAACGAACCAATGTTCAATACCCAGCTCAGGTATCCAAAATACTGTGTATTTAAGTGTAAATAACTTTTGTACAGTAGAATAAAAACTGAAGTGATGCATATGTGCATAAAATATAGCTTCTACACTTTCAAATGGAACCACTTAAGGGGGTCTGGTGCAATGCTGGCCCTTTAAATCTTAAAGGGAAAGTTGATGACGTCATGCAAAGTTTGTGAGGTTAAGTCTTTTTAAAGGATAAAACTTTTTTTCTAGCCATGAATACCATTAATAAATTGATTCCTTTAATTTTATGTAAATTGTTGACACATTTTACTAATTTAATATTTCAACGAATTTAATCAGGCAGGAATAAATTAACACGAATTAATGCATTTCACTATTCTTAGAGACCATGAAGTCTATTTATTTATTTTTTTTTTTATATTTTCCCATGGCAAAGTAAAATCATAAACGCAAAGCATAATATGCACCAGAGAGAGAGAGAGAAAAAAATACCCCAATATTTCGAGCATTAAGAAGTAAATAATTTTCAGAAGCTCCAATGTGTGCAGTTAAAAGTTCATTGCAAAATTAACTTTTTTATACCTCTATAATAACATTTGAGTCTAGGAAAATTCAGCAGACAAAGCACTAACATGAACTTAACTAATAACCCCATAATGTCTCCGGAGACTTTAAAGAGCAAACCATCAGCAATAAAATGTCCTCTTAGGAGGGCGTTTATGTCCTAATATGTGTGTAGGATTTTGACACTTTCTGAGTGGGCACTTCTATGTCTGTTCCAGCTTGCAACTCTGGTCCTTTTTTTTTGTCTGTCCCTTGTGGCATGAAGCCTACAGTTTCAGTGTTCACAGCCAAAATTAGCTTCCTGTCTGTGTCCTACAGCATTTAAAACACACTTCCTCCCACTTACAGACCTTCTAATAAATAGCGTGGGCCATTTCTCCTTCTGCCTCCCTGTCCATTAGACTTGTGCAATAGTCTAAAATTGGTTTTCAGTCTTGTAGTCTGAGAGCAGAGAGACAGTAGTAGACTTTACTTTTCTCACGGTATAATGACATGGTGTTGTCACAGACACCGTCATTACAGACCTGCAGGGCCATGACCCCTCAAATGTCTGGGAGATGGACAGAAATCTTGGGTTCTTTGGCAGTAGTTATTAAGGACCACTCACTTTCTGATATGAAAGAATGGAGAAGCTCTGAAGTTTATGGCCATTCAAGAAGCCAAAGGGAGAAGAATGATTATCTAATGTTCTCACCTGTGGAATTGAACTGTGTGATAAAAGGCAAACAAAAAGTTCAGAGCATCTACCCTCACCGGCCCCTTTATTAGGTACACCTTCCTAGCACCAGGTTGGACCTCATTTTGCCTTTAGAACTGCCTTAGTCCTTCCTGGCACAGACTCAACATGGTACTGGAAACATTCCCTCAGAGATTTTGGGCCATATTGAGATGATAGCATCAACGCTGCAGATTTGTCGGCTGCACATCCATGATGCGAATCTCCCGTTCCACCACAACCCAAAGGTGCTCTATTGGATTGAGTTCCGGTGACTGTGGAGGCCATTTGAGTACAGTGAACTCAATTTCATGTTCAAGAAACCAGTCTAAGATGATTCACACTTTATGACATGACGCGTTATCCTGCTGAAATTATCAGAAGATGAGTACATTCACTGTGGTCATAAAGGGATGGCCATGGTCACCAACAATACTCAGGTAGACTGTGGCGTTGACACAATGCTCAATTGGTACTAATGGGCCCAAAGTGTGCCAAGAAAATATCCCCCACACCATTACACCACCAGCAGCCTGAACCATTGGTACAAGGCAGGATGGATCCATGCTTTTATGTTGTTGATGCCAAATTCTTACCCTACCTTCCAAATGTTGCAGCAGAAATCAACACTCTCAAATGAGCTAACTTTGAAATGAAGGATAACTTCAATAGTGTGTCCAGTTGAGTTAGGAGATGAAATTGGCAGCAACTGGAGGAATTTAGATTTTTTTTTATCCGATTCAGTCAGTAGTCTGATTTTTTGAGACAACTGAAAAGTCTTAAATTGAACTTTTCCCAGACAAACTATGCCTCAATATCTTTTGGCATTTTAACAATTGTGTCATTTGTGTTTTTAGAACTCCTGTTGTAGTAGTAACATTCGGAATTGGTAATTTAACTTTAATTCTACACAAGATAATTTTCACAGAAAATGGAAAACTTTTGGACTTAGTCTTTTAGTTTACATAGCTACGGTTTTGAGGGTCTGAAATCGACAATTTGAAACTAGGTTTCAAAGTGCATGTTTCTGAAAATGATATTGTGAAACAGCCTTTTTGGTGAGCAAAATAATTAGAATTTTTAGAAAACTTTATCATCATTATGTAAACATATATTCATGTACCCTGAAGCACATTGGGATTTTTCACCCAAAAATGAAAACTATCTCATCATTTACCCTCCCTCATGTGGTTTTAAACGTTTATGATTTCTGTTGAATACAAAAGAAGATTTTTAAAAGAAAAATGGTTGCTGGTACCCATTGACTCCCAAAGTAGAAACGAAATACTTCGGAAGTCATGGGCTACAGCATTTATCGGAATAACCTATTTTGTGGTCAACAGAAGAAAGAAACTTAAGCAGGTTTTGAACAAGTGAAGGGTGAGTAAATTCTGACAATGTTTTTGGGTGAACAATCCTATTAGGTTTTAACTACAATTTATACAAAGTATTTTTTTTTATGTATAAGGATAGGTTTAGTATTTATAAAGTAACATTAAATGCATTCGGAGTCATGAACCACTTTTATTCAACAAGAGCTATAAAAGCTCTGCAGATTTCCATTTTGCTGTGTAAGTGTGATTCTTACTCGTCCTCTGAGCTCAGGCTGTGGTTGTCCTCCATGGGAAGAGGTGGAGGGCTGGGTAACATGTCCACCAGCTGCAGAGAGGCAGAGTAGTGCAGGATACGTGGAGAACTCAGCGGCTTCACTGGCTCCGATACGCCACCTGAGGCAATGTAGACCAGCTTAGAAGAGATCTGCTTTGATATATTTTTTAAAGATTTATATTTTTATTATGACAGCAAGCAAAGTTGGAGAGAGAGGGAGAGACAGTAGATAGAGGGGATGAGAACCAGAGAGGCCCATGTGTGGGTGTAATTTTGGCAAGTAGGATGTGATTCTGGATTAAAATATGTTGTTGTCATTCCTCTTCAAAAATATAATCCATACCTAATTACTAAACTTTTATTATAAACCTTTCATCGATAATTTTCCCCACGATTGACAGCAAGAACAAACATAGAAGTGTTTTCTGACTGACAAGCAGCACCTATATGTGTTCAAAAAAATCTAAAACGCCAAATGGGATGAATTTATGCTAACTTTTCTAAGTTAAATAAATTTAAATAAAATTTAAATCTAAAATAAATAAATTAATACTAACTGTATTTAGCTTTTCGCTTATACGGTGGCTCTGAACGGTCAAAACACCTCTCAAAAGGCTTTTTTCGGACATTACATACAGGATTCCCGCGGGGTCTTAAAGTCTTAAAATGTCTAAAATTTTAAAAACAATTTCAGGCCTTGAAAAGTCTTAAATTCACTGAACTATTGTGTTGAATGCCTTAAATCATTTTAAACAGCTCTTAATTTCCCTCTGTCCAAATAAAGCTACCCAACATCTATCAACAATCCATCTCAATAAAACTTTTTTGTATATTTAATTTGTTTTTAATTGACATCAAATTTACAAGCTGTTTGACTTTCTTTTCACAGCAATTTCTTTTAATTAAATTCCCTAATCAAGGAAAGAAAACTAAAAATAATTACACAATTCCTCATGATAATAACAGAGCCACATATCACTTTTCATGATACATTATACTCAATCAATTTGGACCAAAAGTCAACAAATGTATTTTTTTTGATTGTCAATAATAAATAAACTTTTAACAATGTTAAACTTGTCATTAAAAAGTGTATATTTAAAATGTAATTATTTCTTAGCGACATATTTTAATTGTTAAAAAAAGAAAACTTTAGTTTTATACACTTTCTAATGACAAGTTTAATATAGTTAAATTTTAAACCCTGTATAAGTCTAAAATTTAGTTCCCTTAAAAGGGTCTTAAAAAGTCTTAAATTTGACTTGATTAAACCTGCAGAAACCCTGTACATATTTGTACATAACTGTGACACATTTTATTTAAGAACATTTGAGCTGGTTTCAGTCCTTAGTTCTTTCAATTTCATTTTATTTAAAATTTGTTTTTTTTTACTTGTTTGTTAATCTCATTTTTTATATGACCTATTATTTTTATGCAACAGTGAAGCTGCATGTTAATTTGTTATGCGAAGAAAAGGAAATAATTTATTTTTGGAATGCTGATTTATGTTAAATTATGAATATAGGTCGATATAATCACCTTGCAATTTTGAAATTATTCATTTTATTAAAAAGGCTATTCAGTTTATAAGATTAGTTCCAAGTTTTATAAAGTTTTCAAAATAAAATCAGTTTTTTACTGTATAAAAATATAACATTTTTAATATTTAAATTCATCGGCTACAATATATTGGTTATCGGCCTTCAAATCTTAAGAGTTATCGGTTATCAATATCAGCCAAAAAATCCATATTGGCACATCCCTAGTAGAAGCACATAACCCTAACTGTGAGCCTAAACTTGATAGAACCAAAAATTGTCCCTTAAATCTGATTGGCTGATTGGAATGTTGTTCCTGGATCAACATAAATGAGGGGCATGTCCTACTTGGTTAAATCACATTAACTGCTATCGCCAACTACATTCAGTTTGTTAATATGTAAATGAGAATAACAAGAAATGCTGTTGTTCAAACCTGCAGGATGCTGACTGAATCTCTGCTGATGGTTCGGTGCACTGCACACTGCCAGAGCTTGTTGATTCAGAGGCATCAGTGGGGCGCTTTTCACCGCATGCAGCTCTGAAAGAAAAAAACAAACATTTACATTTAGATTTATGCATTTGGCAGATGTTTTTATTCAATGCCACTTACACTGCATTGAAAGTACACATTTGATCAGTTTGTGCTTTCCCTGGACGTCGAACCCACAACTTAAGCATTGCTAGCTTCATGCTTTACTATTTGAATCTCATGAATCTGAATAAAGAATGAATGAACATCTCACCACGCTTGACATTTTTCTCCCATGATTCCTTCTTGACTCCCATGTTGGGCTGGGCAGGGAGTGTGCGTTTCCATGGTAATGCCTGCAATTCCCTGACAACGGCGGTTTTGACTATGGGCTCTGTGATGCGAATGGTCTCCGAGTTTTGCAGTTGAGAGTTACCATGAGGCATTCTGGGACAGCGGCCGGGACTATTAAACGTCTTCAGTCCATTGCCGGTTAGATCCACATAAAAGGTGCCGTAGACCCCACAATTGTCTGGCACGATGGGGACAGCTGACCGCAGGGGGTTGGGGTCCTTTTTAACCGTAATAGGCAGAGCTGTCAGTAGAGAGGTAAAAGTCAGACTGATTTACATAATGTGCCAAGATGTCAACGCTAATTAGATTTGACGAGGAGTCATGACTTCAGGGGTGACAGGCATCTTTTGGAGGTTTTTATGAGGACGTATCTGTCATCCAGAGGGATGACGATAGGAAAAAACTAAAGAGTGACTGCTGAGATTAATGATAACTTGAAATGTTAAAGAATAATCAAAAAAAATAAGAGTTTGGTGCTTTTTTTTAAGAAGAAGTTATGTGAGGTGTTTTTTAAATGCCTTTTTAGGATGTTTATAGTTCTCTAGGGGAGGCTAAAATTGTGACTCACTGGTTCTTCGAAGGCCAGAATTCTCCTGGCTTGGTGTCCAAAGGCCCTGCTTGGGCTCACTGTTGGAGCCTGGCCTCCAGCCGCCTGAGATCCAAGGAGAGTCTGGAGCCGCCATTCTAAAAAAAAAATAAATAAATAAGAAGGGTCACTCAGTTATTTGTAAAAACCTGTCACGGCCAAAGATAAAAAGTCTAATGACGGGCAAAAGACGTAATTTTGACACAAAATGTCATAAGTAAGAGATATTGCAGAGATATTATGAGATCAAATAAAAAAGATAATAAGGTCATAATTATGAATTAAAAATTAGATATTCATTCATATTTAAAAGTCAAACTAGTTATTAAAATATCTTTTGTGTTTGTGAAACCCATACAGATTTGGAACAAGTGGAGGCGTATTAAATTTTTTTAATTTACATTTTTTGGGTGAAGCATATATCTTTAGGAAAGCACAATTATTTAAGTTGAAATATTGAGATATTAAGCCATAATTAAGTCATATTAAGTCATAAATGATCATGTGAATTTAAAATCATCAGGTCATATTTATGAAAAAGGATACACAATTAAGACATTAAGGCCCAATTCCAATTCTACCCCTTAGCCCTTCCTCTTACCCCTACCCCTCGTTTTGCACATACACGTAAAGGGGTAGGGGTGTCCCAATTTAGCTTCAAGGCGTAGGGCTAAGGGCAAAGGCTAGATACCCCTAAAAACTTTTAGAGACTTTTCAGGACCACACTCGAAACCAATGGGTAAGAAAATTTCCCAGATTACACCAGCTAACGTTACAACGGCAGCGTTACTGTACACGAAAGTAAAGAGATACACAAATTAGCATTTTTTGTCATTTTAATAAATTTTTACAACAAACAAGCCCATGTTTTAGTACATTCATAACCGTGCTCGTGTTTTACCATCATGCTTAAAAAAAATAAACACTACAAAAAAAAAAATAAAAATTATATATATATATATATATATATATATATATATATATATATATATATATATATATATATATATATATACTGTATTTTCACCACTGTACTATATCATTATTGTTTTACCTGTGTTTGATGATGAGATCTTCACTTTCCAGTCTATATAAACCTAGAAATAAATATAAAAATATAGGAAATGTAGACATAAGTTTACTATGGCGAAAAAGGTTGTAAATGGACACTTTATTATGGATTACCTGAGCTTTTGCCACTAGGGTTGGCTGGTCTGATATGTCTCCTGTACAAAAATACGGCAGTAATCATCAAAACACACCACAGGAGGGTGCCAACGCTGCCTATGAAAACCGGCTCTTTAATCACACTAACGAAATGAGACATACTGAGTATGCCTGTCTGATATGGAGTCGCCTCCAGTCTCGACTCTGATTGGAAAAAAGAACAGACAGGGATTATATTGAGCAGAATACACTTTAATATGATTATTAGTTTTGGTAACAATTTATTTTGATTGTCCATTTGAGTATTAGTAGATATTAGCCTAATACTGCTGGTAAACAGATATTTAACTGTCTATAAGAAACTTTGCAAGTACATGTCAATTTACACTAACCCTAATCCCAACCCTAATTCCAACCTAACTGTCTCCTTATAATCTAGTGACAATTAGTTGGCATGTAGATGCAATGTAACCTAAATTCTACAAACGGACCATCAAAATAAAGTCTGACTTTTGTTTTTTTAGCGTACCTATGAGCAGTTTGTATGGGTCGCTCTGGACACCTACACCTGCCCCATTAACAGCAGCCACTGTAACCCAGTACAACCTGCTGGGCAGCAATGTGAAGATCTCAATACTGTGTGTCCCACTGTCCACTGTCCAGTTAAAAGACGTCTGTTCTTCAGACTCCACACACCACACCTGTCACAAGAGACATCATCATTCACATCACAATTTCCAGAATGAACATTACAAATTTTAAAAGGTGTCACATGTCATTTCCTAGCATTTTATATAGAGTTTGTATCATCAAACATGTAAACATGAGGAAAGTGCCTCTTATTTGAGTTTTTTATTAACACATTTCCCACTAGATTTTTACTATGCCCCTTTTTACAAGATATAAAACAAGTCTCTGATGTCTCTTGAGTCTGTATGTGAAGTTTCAGCATAAAAAAAAATTACAAATGTTTTATAACTCTTTAAAACTGCCACTTTTTGGCTTTGATTGTAATTGTGCTATTTTGGCGACTGTTGCTTTAAATTCAAATGAGATTGTGCTCTATTCAAAGAGGGCGGAGCTACAAATGTGACAGCATTTGTGCATATGTGCATAACGTCCTATACAAATGACGGAGAGATTGTCACTAATGGGCAGGGCTTTCTGACATGTACAAAGGGAGAATGTCAAAGTTTCTATTTTTATGAAGTGTGATTATGACAAATAAAATATTTTTTGGCATCAGAAGCTGGTTATATTCACAGACTGTTATCACACAACTGTTAAAATCTCTTATAAAAGTGATTTTTGCATAATAGGGCCCCTTTAAAAGGGTAGATCACTTCAATTTAGTTCATTTCATGTCGACTGTAATGACATGAAATGGTGCGACTGTAGCTACGTTTCCATCCACCTGTTTTTATGTGCATTTTGGATGTGCGCATAAAACAAATCAGTTGATGGAAAGGCAATGATGTGCATCAATTTTGAAAATGTGCATTAAAAAACATGCGCATAACAAAGTAGGATAAACATTTTATTCTATAAGATGCGCAAAAACTACGACGGAAATTCCAGTGTGCGCATTAAAAAAGTCATGTAAGTTTGTTATAAGAGATCATGTGATGATAAAATGTGTGTGAATGGACAAACCAGCAGGCTGGCCACATTGTAAAACATCTGAAATGTTATTTGGTCATTTTAAAATGCTTTAACTGTTTCAGTATTAGTGTATTTATATTATTAATTACCTCCAGAACTGTCAATAGCGTCTGTGCTCCATGTCTCAGGCCTTTAAATACCACCATGCATTCATTGAGCATCGGCATACTGTCTTCTGAAGCACAACTAATTTTTTTAAATAAAGAAAAGACTGACGTAGCTTCTTGTACCGCAGCAAATATCAGGAAGTGATGGTTTTGTTCTTTTTAAATCATTGGATGGAAACTCTGCTTTATTCGCAAATCTTTTATGCGATATTCTAGTTCTGTGCATACTTTTAATTTGCATCTTTGTATGGAAACATAGCTTGTGACATCATTAGGTGCAACTTCTTTGTTACTATATATTTGTTATTTTTAATGTCTAATATGACTGAAATCAGTGGAAAAATGTTGATGTTGTTGAACAATTTCGTGAGCAATAAAACACAGTGACTTTAAACAATATAAAAACACACAGTTTGTCACAGACTGAAACTGTCAATTTTTGTAATTTAAATTCCTCTTAATATGATTAAACATTCTAGGAATGTCTGGAGCTGAAAATAGTCATTATCTTACTGCTTCCAGGCTTCTTTCAATTAAAAATCATTTTAATTGAATTATAATTTTTTTTTAAACTAGACAAATGTTTTCACTTTAGTACACCCGTTGAAGAGAGAAAGGCTTTTGGGCATTATTAGCATTAAAATTATTTCACAAAGCATGTGTCTTTTTTTTTATGCAGGCAATACCTGATATCCCTGAATGATTCCATTGTGAGCATCATGAGGTGGAGGCTCCCAGCTGAGATGCACAGTGTCATTACGCTCAGCAGGCATTGTTATGGACACATCCTGAGGTGCAGCGCTGGGGACTGACAACACAACACATGCTTACTGGTGGGTTTTAATTGTCCAGTTGTTTGCTATGGTATCTTATGTTCACAAATACATCAGCTTCATATAATAAAAACATTGATATCTTTAAGTATGATGACAATGTTCCATTTTAATGTTTTTAAAAGTAATTTATTTAATTCAAAGCAGAACCAATTTATGTGTTGTCACTATCAATTTTATTTTTCATAATATTTGATGATTAAAACATTTAAAAGTATAAAAACAAGTATCCTTTTCTTTAAATAATAAATCCTTGTCAATCCTAAACTTTTGAACAGTACTACACAACATGAATTTACCACCAACCATTTTTATTTTATTTATTTTTTTAGTTCTTTTAGTAACATGCAAACACTATGGCATAAAATATTAAAATGGTAATCATTTATATTTACCATTTTTATATTATGGTATCATCACAGTAGTTTGTTTGTAATTCTCACCAATCTCTGGCACTCGTAAGTGTCTGGTGTTGCTCTCTCTGCCGTACAGGCTGCTGCCGTAGGGCCGCACTTTGAACTCATACTTGTAGCCTCTCTTCAGAGGTCCAACATGGGTGTGAAGGCTAGGCTGAGGAACCCTTTGAGCCGTCCAGTCTGAGCTGGCAGGCAGGAGAGAGCGATACAGCACCTCAAAGCCTTCAAGATAATGAGGCTGTGAACCAAATGACTGCAACTATACAGAAGAGAAGAGAAGAGAAGAGAAGAGAAGAGAAGAGAAGAGAAGAGAAGAGAAGAGAGAACTGATCATGATTTGATGGTGTTTAAAGAGATAATTCACTCAAATTAAGTTGAATCCCCATTTCCTGACCCTCAAGTTCCAAACCTGTATAAATTTATTTCTTCTAATGAACACAAAAGTATATATTTTGAAGAGTCTTGGCCATTGATTTCTATTCAACAATGTGAAAACTCTGTGTAAGAAACCCATCCTATTTTTTCCATATTAAGATTATCATCTGAAAATAAGAACTTGACATTACCTTAACATTAAACAAAAGAGTTTGAGAATGTGATCCACACATTAATTTATTCTTGATTATTGTAATTCTCTTTGCAATAAAATGAGAGTCAAATATTTGTCATCTTTAGGTCTAATATTCCAAAAAGTCAAGTTATCATCTTCAGGTAGTTCAAAATGCAGCCACCAGGATTCTGACAAGTACTCAGAAATTACATCATGTTTTCCTAATTTTGCTTGTGATTTTGTTAGAATTGATTTTAAAGTGAAAATCCAATATTAGTTGTATTTGGATGGTTAAAAATGCAGCCATCTAAGATTCTTACTAGTACTCTGAACTTTGATTAAATTTTAATAATATTGCTGCCATTTTTTTTTACAGAATTGATTTCTAAATTCACCTTTTTGTTTTTAAAGCTTTAAACATATTAGCTCCAAAATAACTGTTTGATTTGAATCTAAATAACTATTAGATTATCTTAACCAAGTTTGCTGATGGTTCCAACATCTAAACCAACCGTAAATCAAGAATTCTATTACTGGCCCAAAATTGTGGAATATTCTCTTTTATTCATAAGATTAATTTCCACAGAGAGTTAATTTAGATCAAATGTATATCTAAATGTTGCTTCTACTGAGATTTACAACCGTTTCTTAATTTTCTGACGTGTGTCTTTGATCTATACTTGCTATATCATTGCTTTGCTGTCTTTTTAATTATTTTCTGTTTATTTCTATAGCTGACCAAACACAGACCCACAGACCAAAGACATGCACTACAGGTGAATTGAGTAAATTCTAAATTGGCCGTAGTGTATGAGAGTTTGTGTGAATGTAAGAGTGTATGAGTGTTTCCCAGTACTGGGTTGCAACTGGATGGGCAAACGCTGAGTAAAAGCATGCACCTCAACAGGTTCATTCCGCTTTGTCAACCCCTGATAAATAAGGGACTAAGCCGAAGGAAAATGAATGAATGAATTATTAGATTTAATTGTCTTTTGTCAACTACTGTTGTTTTTACTTGTGCTTTATAAGTACAGTTTGATTAGATTTGATTTGAAAAAGTATGCAAGTCAATGGCTAGTATTAACTATTTGTTTATTTTGTGTAGAAAAACAACAACTCTGGTTTGTGGAGGGTGAATAAATTATGACAGAATTTCCATTTTTTTGGGTTAAACAATCCCTTTAAGTAACCACAAATCCACATCTTTTAAAGCATGGTGCTGTATATTTTGTACATACCTTCCACATAACTTGAGACATGTTGGAGGCTGTGCTCATGACTGTGACATTTTCCAGGCTCACGCGCAAGGCTGACAGCTCTTTGTGTAGGTCTCTCAGTCTAGTGCCCCCTGCATCTGGAACATATATTAGCGAGACATCTCTAATTTCAATTGGGTGGGAGAAATACAAATGACATACTGGGAATGTAGTCAAGAGTTGAAAAAAAAATAGTAGCTTTGTTTCCACCAAACTATTTTTATGTGCATTTTAAAATATCTTATAAAAATGCTTTACAGAAACGCCTAAATGCACATAAATTTACAAAATTGACTTAAGTCGTTTTTTAAAGAGCCACTATTATACATTAAAAAGGGTCATATTTCGGTTATATGAGTATCCCAACTGATATGCATGCAAGGTCAAAAAACACTTTCAAGGTCTTATAATAAGCATTTATTTTTACCTAATTATCCTAGCGACTCCCATAGAAATTGTACAGCGATTAATTTGTTCCCAAACCAGTCCTTAGCGCGAAGCTAATCTGCGCTGATTGGACCGATGACAGCCTGTTGCCATTGGTCGACAGCATTCAAAGCGAGACAGTAAAATAACCAGTGCGTTTTGTAAAGCCCCCGGGTCACCAACATTAGCCCCTTTTACAGTGATACCGGTAAATATATGGAAAATTTCCGGAACGACTTTACCGGTAAATTAAAAAAAGCGCTGTTAACACAGGCGAGGACGTTACGGAATTTTTTCCGGAAAAGAGCATTCACACACATCCATTCCAAAATACCGGTAAATTCTGACATCATTAACCAAAAATGAGCTCTAAACGGCTACGCTTGTATTTGTAAACATTTGACTACATCACAAACTCTGTGGATGGATCAGTATTGTGAACAACTTCGATGAAAATATATAGATAAACACTTTCGCATGTCGAGAAGTACATGATATGTGTGTGTGCTGGCACTCATGGGCTGTTTCATGGGCACATGCAAAGCTTGAAGGTAAACAAACAATTCAATGCAATCTTATCGATAATTAATTACACAATTGGCATTAAGATGAACATATAAACGTTCTCTGCCTAATTTCTAGCAGCTAAATGTGTCTGGAAAAATTCAAAGGCTTTTATTCTCATAAAACGCGCAGACGTGAATGTGTCTGACTTTTCTGATTGGCTAAAGCAGACATCTAACGTCAGCACGTTCTAGACGTGAACGCGCTCTTTCCGGCAATCTTCCTTCTGCGTTCACACAGTGCAGCATTCCGGCAAATTACCGGTAATGTTACAACTTCTCTTTCCGGAAAACAGCCAGAACAAATTTACCGGTGTTTTCAAAAAGGGCCTGTTCACACATACACACCTTTCCGGAGGTGTGTATGTGTGAAAGGGGCTGTATTGGTATAGGATGCGATCGCAGCGGACACCCGAGACACACTTCATAGTAAACATACTCAACATTGTTATTCAGAAACCTCACCCCTGAAAGCAGTGTAGTTAAACACCAGCATATTGCTCTATTATTAACTATGACACACAATCAGTATTAATCCACACAGCAGCAAAAGCTAAACTATTCTGAACCTTGACCGCCACACGTGTGTAAGAACAGCTGACGGTGGCCATAGCAATGACAAACAGCAGTGGAACTCGAGCTCACATATGCATTTAAAACCGTAAACAAAGCAGGACGCGACGCATTTTCAACATGGCATTAGAAGCGATATGAGAATAAAAAGCGTTAACCTGATACAGTGCAAGCAGTTACAAGTAACAAAACACAATTAAATACATAATTTGCAAGCTAGAGAAAACAAGGGACAAGCCACACTTATGAAATGTGTCATGGGCCAGGTCTGATTTCATTAATTATCTTTCATTTTGGAGCTTTTCCCCGTTCTCAGCTGTAGATCATTTCAATTTGCAATCATTGCTGTGGCACCTCTTGCGTGAAGTGTTATATGTTCTCAGGGCTTACCTGTACTCTGCTTTGCCCAACGATCACATCCCCAGCCAGGGGGTTGTGGCGCTCACAAGCGCTCCTCCTCAGCATGCAGCCTGCTTTTGTTTGACTTTGTGCCTAATAAACTTTCCTTATTTAGCAGGCACCCCTGGTGTATTCTCTGTCCATTAGTCTCACAAGTCTTATACATCAGTAGTCTTGTCTGATCCTTCCTTTAACAAACAAATGAATCGGCCATTGTAAAGGCTGATTTAGACTTCTGCGTCAAGCGCACGTGTATGCTACGATGCGGCTTACGAAAGGACGCATAGCCCTCGCCTTGGCCGTCAGCGTCGCTGACAGGCACCTCTCAAAAAATTTAACTACAAATCGCAACGACATGTAGTGCATCTCTGTGATTGGTCTGCTTGGTAGCGCTGACGAGTGTGGGCGGGGACAAAAAGCCACGCGAGCCCGATTTAGCCCGCTGGTTCCTACCTGAAAATGAGGTGGTTTGAACCACTTGTACATTAAGCATTCAGAAAAAACAAAACACCAACGAAGAAACTCGACACAGAGGAACATAAACACCTCCCTGCCAACTAACGCTTCGGAAGTGTTATTGCAGACCAACAGAAACAGCGGGCAGAAGTATGAATGCACAACTACGCTCGTTGCATGCACCATGGGTCACGCCGATCACTTGACGCAGAAGTATATACCAAACTTAAGCGTGTAGATTGCTGAAGCACTCCTTTCCCTCACACTTCCAATAATATCCAGGTAAGCACAGCGTCCTCATGACTTAAGGATCTGTCTTTGCTGCTGTGTTAGTGGGCAAGGCCGCAGGTCTAAATTTTCCCTGGTTTGCGCGCGCAACAATTGGGCAGGGCTTATGTTTCGTAGCCACATCATGCCGAAACGGCTAAAGACTCGTTATCAAGGCGATTCATTCAAACCACTGTGAGTAGACTTTTTTTTTTTATGGATGAATCAATAGTTTTAAAGACTGTCCACTTTCAGATTTAAGCCTTAGCTGGATATTTCACTTCACTTAGAGCGGTGTTACACACTACATGGAAGGTCATTTTTAAAAACTCATAATAGGGACTCTTTAAAATTTATGTGCATCTGGGCATTTTCATCATCGACTGAGTAGTACAAACTTTTAATTCGATAAGCATGACTACAAACACATTTACCAAATAAATTCCAATACGCTCAAAGTCGTGGTTTTGTGATATGAGATCACTTGATGATAAAAATGAGTATGATGGGACGACAAAAATGAACAAACCAGAAGACCGGATACATTGTAAAACCTTTAAAATGTTGTTTTGGTCAATCTAAAATCCCTTAACCAAAGTCCATCATCAAAGTGGTTCGATATTATTACCTCCAGAACTGTCTTGAGTGGTTGCACTCCCAAAGAGTGGTCTCACATCTTCAAAAGCTACCATGCATTCGTTGTGTTTTGTTTTCATCTTCTGAGGTGCAAGTAGAAAAAACAGTTCTCAGTGTTTTCTCCTATCAAAGCAAATTCCATTTGTCTTTTTAATATTTGCTGCCATTTAATCAGGAAGTGGCTATTTTGTGTTCTTTGACTTATTGGATGGAAATGGTGTTTTATTCGCAAATGTTTTATATGAAATTTCAGTTTTGCACATATGTTTAATTCGCATCTTTGGATGGAAACATAGCTATTGATTGACTGCTGATACTATAATGCTTTCTTACCTTCTACAAGAAGCTGTGCACTGGCCACAGACACCCCAAGCTTATTTTCCACTGTGCAGCTGTATCTGCCCATGTCCTGAGCTGTCACATAGTGGATCTGCAGACTGTGATCTGGGTTGATCAAATATCTGGCAAAAGGGGATCATCATAAGACATTATGAATGAGAATCATAGACAATGTAATACACACTGTGGTGTCTCAGAAGGTGACAAGCAGATTTAAATACAAGTGTGAATCTTCTAAATGATGTGTGTACAGAGCCGTCGTCAAGATCTAGTTTTGGCCTTGTTGTTTGGGCTAACAATCAATTGTCTGGAGTTACTGTATGAAGATGTAGGTTGTTACATATTTGCCATATTTACAGTATAAAGCTTTTGGATATATACAGGTTATATGGGCTGGTTCTTGTTTGCGTTATATTATTTTATTCCATTTTATTCCATGCAACACTAGAGAGTCAAATATATCTTTCCCTGTGATTCATTAAAAATTGATCCAAGCATAAGTATAAAACACAATTTTTTGAATCACAGCAATAAATGACATTAATATACAGTTAAAGTCCAATTGATTAGCCTCCTGAATTATTAGACACCAGTGTATATTTCTTTTCCCTAATTTCTGTTTAACGGAGAGAAATGTTTAAAAAAGAATGGAAACACATTTCTAAACATAATAGTTTTAATAACTCATTTCTAATAACTGATTTCTTTTATCTTTGCCATGATGACAGTACATGATAGACTAGTATTATATTAGTATGATATACTAGATATTAGTATTCAGCTTAAAGTTACATTTAAAGGCTTCACAAGGTTACTTAGCCAAGTTAGGGTAATTAGGCAAGTCATTATATATATATATATATATATATATATATATATATATATATATATATATATATATATATATATTGCTAATAATACTGACCTTAAAATGGTTATTAAAAATTAAGACTAAAAATAAAAACAAATAAGAATTTCTTCAGAAGAAAAAATATTATAGGAAATAATGTGAAAATGTCCTCGCTAAATATAATTTGGGAAATTCTTGAAAAAGGGAAATAAAATAATTTTGACTTTAATTGTATATTCACACTTAAAATGTTTTTATTCTAAATGTAAACATTTCACAGTATTAGATCTTAATATTTGAGTTAATTCATCTTAATTTAAATTAACTTTAAATATAATTTTATTTCAAAAATTAATGTAGTCCAATGAAACCTGTAAGTTCTCGAATGATAGGAACAGGTCAATAATAATCATCATCTTTTTAATGATCTTTATGAGGAGTCTGACCTGCCGTTAGGTAGAGGTCCTTGTTCTCGGCTCCACTCTATAGAAGGCATTGGGTCTCCGTCAGCCTCACAAAAAAACTGTGCTGACTCCCCAAGCTGAACTGACACATCCTCCGGTTTACGCAACAATACTGGCTTTGCTGAGGGTGAAAGCAGATATACAAGTCTCATTGATGTATTTAAGTCATTACATTAGCTGCTTGTTCAAACAACTAATTAAAATGAACTGAAAAAAATCTAAATTCTTGAGATTTTTTGGCACAATTTAATAGTTTTATGTTCAATCTGCAAAAATGTGTAAAAGTTAATTTAATCGGTTTGTGTTGGGACAACATGAAGGAATTGTGTGGAACCCAACATTTCTTTTACAGTGTATGCTAATACGAGAGATCACATCATGTTATATCAAAGCACATTAACTGGCCTTACCTAATACAGACAATCGAGCAGCTCGACTCTCTCGAACCCCAATCATGTTTGAGGCTATACAGCTGTAAACTCCAGAGTCATTCTTCTGGGCTGGAGCAATGATTAGTTTACCTTTCAGTTCCTATACATGTGGATATAATAGAAATATACTGTCATCCAACCACACAAATGTACAATTCATGGTCCTAAAGATTTATTTTCTGTATTATACTGCCCTCTGCAGACGGATACTTGTAAGATTTCCCCAAAAAGGGCATGAGAGAGTAACTCGATTCATTCATTCATTCCTTTTCCTTCTGCTTAGCTTTTATTTCAGAGGTTGCCACAGTGGAATGAACCACCAACTATTCCAGCATTTGTTTTGGGCAACGGATGCCTTTCCAGCCACAACCTGGTACTGGGAAACACCCATACACTCTCATTCACACTCATATACCACAGCCAATTTAGTTTATTCAATTCACCTATAGCATATGTCTTTAAATGGTGGGGGAAACCAGAACACTCGGAGGAAACCCACGCGAGTGGAGAACATGCAAACTCTACACAGAAATGAAAACTGGCCCGGCTGGGACTCGAACCAGCAGAAACTAACACTGAGTTAGAAAATAATATTGATAGCACCGTATGTTGCACTCACAGTGTAGTGTTCATTGCTGCTGTTGATAAGGATCCCGTCTTTCCTCCAGGTGACATTGGGTTCGGGGTGTCCTACAGGTGGACTGCAGTTAATGGTTGCCATCTCTCCAATCGCTACTTCTACATCACTAGGCTGCACACGAAAATCCTCTCGCAAAGCTGAAAATAATGACACAGATGATCAGATTAGGTTTGTTCCCTTGTGTTATATAGTGTTTTCATTTATTTTTACAAACACAGGCATTCTAAATTTGTGGTCTGTAAGATTCTTATACACTTTAACCATGATTATTCTTCAGTTTCATAAAAACTTTCCAATATTATGGTATCATCATCCGCTCAAGAAGATGAAACATTGTTGTTTTTGTCAGTTTGGGAAACTGATATACCATTCAAAAGTCGCATTAAATTTTTATTATTTTTTTACTTTTATGCATCACAAATTGTTTAAGAGTGAAAGTAAATACATTTATAATGTAAAAAAGTAAATTATAAATAAAAGATAATAATTTTAAATTTCTTTATTATTAAAGAATCCTAAAAGTAAAATGTATCAGGGTTTCTACAATACTATGAAGCAAGACATTTTTTCAGCACTGATAATTGTAAGAAGAATTACTAATGATTTTTTATTAACACAAAACCATCATCATATTGTAATGTTTTCAGAAGAATCATTTGACACTGTAGACACTGAACATAGAGTAATGTAAAAATGGTAAAAATACACCTTTAAATCATAGAAACAATTTCAATTTGAAAATACATTCAAAGAGAAAACAGTTTTTTAAAACTGTATTATCTTAAAATTGAACACTTTTTACTGTTTTTTGATCAAATAAATGCAGCATTGGTGAGCAGAATTGCCTTTTTGAAACATTAAAAACTTACTGATTCCCATATTTATTCATACATTTTCTATTTGGCTTAGTCCCTTTTCGGCTTAGGCGTCAAAGCGGAATGAACCGCCAACTTATCCAGCTTATGTTTTTAATGCAGCGGATGCCCTTCCAGCAACAACCCATCACTGTGAACACACATATTCACTTTCTTATTTTTTTCCGGCTTAGTCCCTTTATTAATCTTGATTCTCCACAACGGAATGAATTGCCAACTTATCCGGCATATGTTTCACGCAGCGGATGCACTTCCAACCACAATCCTTTACTGGGAAACACAAACACTCATACACTAGGGTCAATTTTAGCATACCCAATTCACCTGTACCACGTCTTTATATAGACTTGTGGGGGAAACCGGAGATGGGTTGAAACACACACAAACACATGGAGAACATGCAAACTTCTCACAGAAATGCCAACTGCCGCAGCCAAGGCTTGAACCAGCAACCTTCTTGCTGTGAGGCGAACGTGCTACCCACTGCGCCACCGCGTCACCCCTAATTACACACCACAAACTCATAGTTGGAATGTGAAAGGTCAGTTGCTGATCTAAAATCAACACTATCAGTCGGTTGCTACATTTCAGATATGCTCACATATATCTAGTAGTGTTTTTCTCATCAACGGCCTTCTGCTTTAGAAATTAAGGCCCATTGTCAGCTCATCTTGACGTAGCTTATTTTTGTCTGAAATGATCTGACAGCAAATCAGCGTAAACAAAACCCAAATTCATTGTGTGCAACAATTGATTCAATGTCTCAATCAGGTCCCGCTTCAGTGCAGTGGAATGCAGAGTAAACAGGTCTGCTGAGGAATCTGTTTGGGCTACAAACACAGCATGCTGTCAGGGCTCAATTAGTGCTCTGTTTGTTTTAGGGAAGAAAGCAAACTTTGACATCTGATCTCCAGTAATCTCACGGACCATCTTAATAAGCTTCCTCACCCTCTTGTTCCTTCAGAGCATTCAAGTAGGTCTTGATGGGTTGATCATTGTTATCATGGTCTGTTGGGTTTAAACAGGTGAGTTTTTGTGGGAAATATTCAGGGAGATGTTGTGGACCATAGTGACTTTTAATTATTTTAAGTGCCTTTGCTTGTTTGCAGAAGAGAAAGAAACACCTATAGAATCTAAGTGAAGTTTCACAAACAAATTTCCAGAGGAGCACGTTATATGACTGACTGCAGCTGGCCACCCATCTACACGCATTAGCTAGCCAATCAGATTGATCCAAACTCACTATAGGTAACCTAGTTAGAACTACTCCCTTATCTTCGTTTTTCCGAAGAAACCCCCCATCCAGCCCTTCTCCTCCTTTCCTCCTTTACCAGTGGGGAGCTCTCAAGAATCACCTGATCTCGTACTCCTCTCACATGCTCTATGGACGAGACGGGAGCCCTGGGCTCAACTATCTCCGAGCTCAGGGTTCTCTCCTGTGACAGCATGCCAAACCTGCTAACCTCTAACAGTTGTCAAACAATATCTAAGTGTGAACTCTTGAAATAACGTGAGGGTGAGTAAAAGACTATTGCAATCTTATTCCTTGTTGACAATAATCCAACTATATTAATTATGCCTGCAGAGACCCAATAGAATTTCTTGGTTACAAATATTGACTCACTGTTACAGAACGACTGGGATAAAAGATAACGGTTTAATCAAAACTGTTAAAAATGAATACATCCAACAGAGGGATTTCCGATGCTTGTTTTGGGTTTGAATGATTTTCTTTGTTGTCCCTGAGGGGCAATTTCACAGCAATAGCCGACACATATCACCACACAAATAAACAGACAAGTTAACTGTAAACAATTAAGCTAATCATCAACTCAAATGAAAAACTTGATGCTAAAAAGTCACAGAGCACAGATGAAAGTACCTTTTTTCATAAAAACCCTATTTTAAAAGATACTTTTCTAGCAGAAATATATATTTTGTTGCTTACTAAGTCACAAGAGTGGTCTCTCAAAATCAGGTATTATTTTGTGTCAATGTAGAACAACTCCAATCTAACCTCACTTTAAACAAAAGTTGCGGATTGTTACTTTTAATACCATTGACAGAGACGAAAGTAACTCAGGGTGGGTCAAAAGTAACACAACAATATTTACTAGATTCACTGGCTTAATCTTGTTTATTTTAAATATATCTGACTTTGACCTTGTTAATGTTCACAGCAAACATTTTGTTCCTTATTTTTGCAAAAAAAAAAAAAAAAAAACATTTAAATGTCATTTTCTTTTAAAATTTCACTTCCATTAATTTTTTCAAAGCAATCCAACAATGTAAACCTTAATTTTTTTAATTATTATTGGCAATATGCATTAATCTTATAAAACATACGAGTCAAAACCAATGACTGTAGAAGGTCAAAACTCTAAAAACTAACGTGGAAGTGAAAAATAAGGCATGGCTATTAGCAGTGGCACATTACTAACAGTTAATTTTGTCTCCAAAGGAGTTCTTGCCATTTAAACCTGATATTCTTTTAAACTGAAAAACTCAGACATTTCAAACTTAAGGATGTTTTATTGCAGCAAACAATAAAGATTGATTTTTAGTGTGACACATGAAAAGAGTAACACAACTTGTAATAAGGAAAAAAAGATCCACTACAATTATTTTTATGTTTGCACTTGAAAACGGAAATTTGGAGCTACAGTAACTGCGGGACACGGCCCCAAAATCACATTGTATTTGGCGGCTCCATCTAAGGTTGCATGCTGAATGCTTGGAGTGCTTTCCAATAGCTTGGAAATCAAATGTTGTCAGGGCTCAGGGCTTCGAGAAAATTGCTTTGTTACTTTCATCCTAGATAACTTTTGCCACGCTCTCCTCTTATTATTAAACTTTAATGAGCAACTTTGACTATGATGACAAAAAACAGGTATGCATGAGCATTCTGTCCTTTTTATGGTCACATTATGTGACATAGTATCTTTTTTGGGGTGGATGTACAGTCTGCGCAAATTAAGGAACAAAAATTTTATATCTAACTTGCATATAGACCCACTCAATAATTGAAGTGCAAGTATATAAAGCTGATGTATATAAGGTGTGGGTGATCTACTATGACTAGGTATAACAGTGAAAGACTTCAGAACTGGACAGCACCAATGCGCTTACAGTAACCCATATCTGACTGAATTCATGTGAGATAGTCCACAAGATATACAGTTGAAGTCAGAATTATTAGCCCCCCTTTGATTTTTTTTCTTTCTTTTTTTTTATTTCCCAAATGATGTTTAACAGAGCAAGGACATTTTCACTGTATGTCTGATAATATATATTTTGGAGAAAGTCTTATTTGTTTTATTTGGGCTAGAATAAAACAGACTTTAATTTAAAAAAGAAAAAAAAAACATTTTATGGTCAAAATTATTATTCCCTTTATGCTATATATTTTTTCGATCATCTGCAGGACAAATCATCATTATACAATAACTTGCCTAAATAACCTAGTTAAGCCTTTAAATTTCACTTTAAGCTGAATACTAGTGTCTTGAAAAACATCTATTAAAATATAATTATGTACTCTTGTCATGGCAAAGATAAATAAGTTATTAAAAATGAGTTATTAAAACTATTCTGTTTTGAATTGTTTTGAAAAAAAGGTTTTGTTAAACAGAACTTGGGAAAAAAGTAAACAGGGGCTAATACTTCAGAGGGGCTAATAATTCTGACTTCAACTGTACATTTTGAAACTGTTGTTGACAGTTCATGTCCAAGTTTGCATGCTGTCTGAGGGAACTAAGATTGTGCCGGTTTTATGCGACTCACCCTAGTTGTTTGTTCTAAGTCATTCCTGAAGGTGAAGAAAGAAATTAAAAATAACATAATTGGCAAAGAATGGATGATGTGTTCCTCTGGCATTTCAAAATAATAATTATCTGTGGAAAGATTCTTCTATGATATACCACATGATCTCTGTTCTCTGCCTCAGACTGCAGCCATTTCAAGCGCAAAATTTAAGGCATTTTTTTTTTCAGTTTTAAATAAGGGTGCAAATACTGTAATTTGCAAATGTTAGTGAATCACATTGTATTACTTTAAATTTACTGTTGTTCTTTTATTTCTCACTGCATGTGTTTAGTAAATAGCCTTTTGACAGTATTGTTTTAATGCTAAAACGACTTTGCTCTAACAATATCATATCATTAATTTAAAATAATTAAACTAATAAATATAGCCATACAAAAGCCTGCAACAACTTTTATTAAATTATGAAATTTTGTTTTGTTTATTCAGAATCTGTTTTTAAAGAAAATAATTTTGATTCTTAACTTTATTCAAACCTGCTATATGAAGAGAAGCATTTCTGCTGGTTGCATTTCCAATGCTGTTGTGAGCGATGCAGGCATACACCGCTTCATGGGACTGACCCTTCCGGCCCGGGACCACACTAAAGAAGAACAAACTTCCATCTGGTAGAACGATAGGCTGTGACTGCGCATCCATCTTGTCCGTGTCAAGAGGTTGGCCATTTCTGAGCCACTGTATGGTGGGCTCAGGGTTGCCCTCTGCCCTGCACGACAATGTGGCCGGGCTGCCCACTCGGACCACCACATCGGAAGGATGGTGAACAATACGAGGTAGGTTAATTTCTGAAACAAGTCTGGAACCTGGGGGAGAACAAAAATAAACAGTCACATTAACCCATCAAATACATTAAACAAATTCCAATCTTGAGAATGAATTCTGAATTGTTTTGTGTAGGGTGCTTAGATGAGTCCACGATGAGTAAAGGAAACACATTTCCTGTATGGAGCGGAAATGGAGTCAGTGCAGCAGGCTGTTTTTCCCACTCCGAGAGGAACAAAGGGCCAGCACTCACAAACAAAGTTACAGACCAACAGGACATCCGTCACCTGTGCACCAAGTGTAGGAATGGTCCTCTGCTATTATAGGCCCACTTACAATGTCCTACAATGTCTCTTTGTACTCGCACGCCAAAACATGCCAATCACATGTGCATGAGAGGGTGTCTTTAAAACAAAAAAAAGCATTTGGTTTGGTCCAACAACAAACCCTTGTTGTCTATCGGATTTGTAATAAGTAAATGAAGTTGTTAAACATAAAGTGAAATAAGCTGTATATGTTACAATAGGAGGTAAACTAGGGTGAAGTGCACAATGGAGAATCGAAGCTCTGCATTCTTGGCAAAAATTTGTCAGACTATTAAAAGTTTCTATTGTCTATCATGGGGCAGTTTCCTGAAAGAGAGGAAACTAAGAGTCTCACAGTCCTGCTATGTCATTTTCACTGCAGAGGAATTTGTGGAAAACATTGGAAGCATGCAAAAAAGGCAATGCTGCAACTTTAACAGTTTAATGTTACATTCGACAAAGGTATTTAAAAGGCTTTAAAAAAGAAGGAAATAATACTTTTTTTTTTGTCTGTGTGTATACAGATGGGTTCTAAATTAGCCTATAAAGATGGCCAACTTATATTTGTCGCTTAAAGAGGCATTCACAAAACCTAGTTGGAAATAAAACGTTGATAAAACTTAAAATTGTAATCAAAATGTTAACATAAAGTGCCGGAGTTCAACTGTTTGAACACTTAATAAACATTACACAATAATTAGTTCGCAAGGGATTAACGCACAGCACATATTCGACATCAACATTTTAAGATAAATTCGTAATAATTTATAACAGACATGTTAAATTGAATAAATCATCATGTCTACCAGGAAAAAAAGTAATGATCGAATTTTAACCTATAGGCTACTTTTTCATGACATACTAGGCCTATATAAATTATTTATAATTTTAATAGGATATTGCATTTGTTATTGAGAAATTAAATAGTATAGGTCACAGAAACAACGTAATTTAATTGTAGAACTTTTAAATTCTAGCCTAAAAAATAAATAAATAAATAAAACTAACTTTATTTTAGAGATAATATTACAGATGAAAATAATTTTTTGGTCAATTTTAAAATATATATTCTTAAGAAAACACTAGAACAAAATAGTTTTACTTAATTTGCTTACCTTCAATATTAAAAATGACCCCCAAAACACAACAGAGCTTAATGAAGAATCTCGTCATTATTTTACATGTCACGTCCACTTCAGTCTACGAATACAAAAAACTCATCGTCGTTCTGCGTTGCAAAACCACCGCGAAAAAACAGAATGGCATTTCGGCTGAAATCCACAGGTTTCACAGCCCTGTCTCTGTCGTTTCAGTCAGTACAAGTGTTGAACCGAGCGCCATCCGGATTGAGACCCGCCCCGGTGACTCGAACACGAGCTGATGAATGATGACGGGAATTACCGATGACTGACGAGCCAGAGACAACTATGACTCCTACCATTTGTGAGGTAAACTACACACGTGTGGCTTACTGTTTTCTGAAGTCGAGCTTTTGCCTTTAGTTTTTCTGTCGTGTACGACAACATTGTTCTAACAAAACGGAAGACATTTGGGTCAAATTATGTTTATTGTAAAGGCCGAGCAGTGTTTAAGCTTCCAACTTGTAGGCAGCTTTCTGTCAGTTCAGCAGGGTGGTGGTGGTAATGATGGTAATGATGAATGATATTTATTTTACCAGTAAATGATTTAGTATTTTAATGTGTGATGTGAAGCTTTCTATCAAATGAATGTGATGACAGCATTCAGAAACAGGAAAAATTAGAGCTCACAGCCAAGAAAAACTTCCTTTTGTTCTGCACAAACTGCACAAAAACTTAATGTATGAATACAGATTGATGCCAAACATCATTTGAGCCAGTAAAAAAAAAAATCTGCAATAAATATTCTCTCCCCAAATTTCGAAATTAGGCTTATTACAGGGATTATGCAAATTACGCCACAAGTTACAGATTCATTTTAAACAAATTACGCTACAAGTTACAAATTACGCTTATGCAAATTATGCTGCAACTTTTACTTAGCCTATTGACTTTTTTTTTGTCAGCTGAACACAGAATAAGAGATTTAGAATAATGTTAATATTGGTAACCAAAAAGTTTATAGTCCCCAAACAATGATTCATTTCTGAAAACAGCTGATACTTCTTTAAAATACTTCTTGTTTTTAAAAAGAGAGAGACTTGACACAAATGAAACATTCATTTATTAATTAATTAATTTATTTATTTATTCATTCATTTTCATTTCGGCTTAGTCCCTTCATTCATCAGGGGTTGCCACAGCGGAATGAACCGCCAATTTATCCAGCATACTGTATGTTTTACGCAGCGGATGTCCTTCCAGCAACACAACACAACACTGGGAATACACTCTTTCACACATACACTACAGACAATTTAGCTCATTCAGTTCACCTATACCGTCTTTGGACTGTGGGGGAAACCGAAGCACCCAGAGGAACCACATGCGAACATAGTGAGAACATGCAAACTCCACACTAAAACCCCAACTCGAACCAGTGACCTTGCTGTGAGACGAACATGCAACCAACTGCACCACCATGTGAAACATTAAATCACAAACTTGCAATGTTCATAATCAAGCAAGTGGCATCAGAAGTAAATAGAGAGGAGCATAAAAAAAGTGAAACCCAGCCGTTACTGTAGAGCACTGAGGGGCAACACTTGCTAATTCCAATTACTATTAAGTCTGTGCAAATACGGTCGGTGAGGGGGTGAGATGGAGAGGAGAAATCTGAAAGCCCGAAAGAAAAGAGAGGAATGAAAAGCAGAGGCGGCGGCAGTTCATTTTCTCGAAAGGCACATATAAATAAAGTGTTGTTTAGAGAACTGTCTATTGTGTTGGTTAAAAGAGCAGGCCACACTGATGGACACGTATATTGATCCAGGGAGCAGTGCCTTGATGGCCTGTGGATCAGCAGCTTTCAGCGTCTAACAAAAGATGCTGTGGGACTATAGGGCCGCATACCACAACACAGAAGTAAAGCTGCACTGCAAAAAGAGTTCAGGCTGATTTAGCGCCTTGGGTAACTTCTCAGCACGTTTCGCTTATAAATAAGTCTCTTTGAATTTCTTAACAGAGTGTTTTGTGTATGAACATAATGTTTATATATTAAATTTGGGGAAAAATAAGGAATAATGCATGCTTTTGTAAATAAGTAACAGGTGGTTAAAATTGTATTTATGCTGAAAATATAAACTTTACAGTACTGTGCTCAAGCACAAAATGATAGGTACAGTGCTCAGCATATGAGTACACACCATTTTGAAAATGAATATTTTATGCATTTCTCAGTGAATATGGGTAATATATGTTGGAGCATTTGAACAAAACAGATTTATTAAACAGACATTTATTAAAATAATATTTTAGTCACAGAACATCTTAAAAAATGGAAATATAATACATTTAAATTTATGCAAAACATTGCAAAAAAATACAAACTACAAAATTTCAACAAAACTGTATATATTTTTGTTTCTCTTGATCTTTGCTATTTTCTATCATGTTTTTAAAAATATTTTTCCCTAACATAAATTAAGATACTAATTTCTGATCCATTATTGCAAGTTATTTTGTTCGATTGGCTCCAGATTTGGCTTCAGTATTGATTAAACTAATGTATATGCACAAATACAATATCGTAAAGCATCCTATAGAAACTGTTAATTTAAATGAGATTTGTGGAGGGTGTACTCATATATGCTGATCACTGTATATTATTTGATGATTTATTCAACTTTTGTATGAAGTTATAATATAAAAAACATAGGTATTGTTTAATTCAGGTGAGTGAATTTTCTTTTACACATAATTAAACATAAATAACCAAGAAAAGGATTCAAAATTCAAGAAGTCATTCAGTAAGTTAATTGATAACCATGCAGCAAAAGGGAATAACATCATAAATATAACATTTTTTATTTATTTATTTTTTTTAAACAGTGAGACTTCAAGTAAGCATATAAATGCAACACACTATGGTACCGTCACACTCACTTAATATACAGTTGAAGTCAGAATTATTAACCCCTTTTGCATTTTGTTTTTTAAATATTTCCCAAATGATGTTTAACAGAGCAGGGAATTTTTCACAGTATGTCTGATAATATTTTTTCTTCTGGAGAAAGTCTTATTTGTTTTATTTTGGCTAGAATAAAAACAGTTTTAAAATTTTTAAAAACCATTTTAAGGTCAAATTTATTAGCTCCTTTAAGCTATATTTTTTGCCTAATTACCCTATTCTGCCTAGTTAACCTAATTAACCTAGCTAAGCCTTTAAATGTCAATTTAAGCTTTATATAAGTGTCTTGAAAAATATCTAGTCAAATATGATGTATGTCATCATGGCAAAGATTAAATAAATCAGTTATTAGAGATGAGTTACAAAACTGTTTAGAAATGTGTTGAAAAAAATCTGTTAAATAAAAATTGGGGAAAAAATAAACAGGGGGCTACTAATTCTGACTTCAACTGTATTTTTCACATGTAAATTAAATCAGCAGTGACCACGAGTGAAAATCACGAAGTGAAAAAAAGGGTTTATCAAGTTATCACTGTCTTTCTGATTTCATGCTGTGGACCCCATGCTGATACGCAGAGCGAGCGGATGCTCAAACCATTCATTTCTGAATAAATTTACCATTGATTTCTAAATATTGTTTTTTTTTTTTTTAAATAAAAACTAATATAAATGTTGCAGTAATAAATTATTCACTAAATCTAAACTATAGTATAAAAATAAATCTTGCCCTCTTAAATTTGTTAGTTTAATCAAACTGACTAAAAATATGAAGTTAAACTTTGTATAACTCAAAAAAATTAATCCTGATTACCTTATTAAAATAAGTTAAAGCAACATAAAAATATTTAACTTTTTGTCATTTGTCAGGAAATTGGAGAGAAAGAAAATGATTTTATTATAATGCTTAAGTTTAATAATCCAATAAAAGCCATTAGTTTTACCTTTCCTGCGATGGGCCCGGTCTCTGTGTGATGCTCGCTGATGCATCAGACGATGGCGTAGGTGTCCTTTTCCCTCTGACCTCTGTGCCACCTGTTCATCAGGTGGGCACGCGCACTGGCGCACCGCCTTGCTGCAAGTACACAGCCATGCCACCCACAACATCCATGCAGACACCTGCATCTTCAGCCTAAATCTCCTCTCCTCTGGCCCTGCACCCTCCGCTACACCATCCCAACTGTGGTCCACCCTTCTCCCCACAGTCCTAAATTATCGAGAGATTGTTATAAAGAATGTTTTTTCTTTATATTCCACAAATGCTTTGTATTTACTTTCCCTCCCTCTTTTATTTAGCGCTCCCTCCGCTCTCTCCCTCCTCTTTCTCGCCTCGCTTTTCTCTTTTGGGAAAGAAGTTGGCGGAAACAATGATTGAAAAACAAGTTTCAGGCCCCATGCTGGGAGTGCGGGAGAGGAGGAGAGGGATGGGGACTGTCTCCTCCAACAACATCTGTGTCATTCGTTCTGCACGTCCCAAAGACGGAAAACAAGGCCCGCGAGTGAACGGGGAGGGGACCGAAGGGGATCTCCCATACCGAAAGGGATCAGTTCCATTAATCAAGTGTCTGCGAGTCGACTGATCAAATCCTTCAGAGTGACAAACTCTTTGGCTCTTTAAAACATCAAACGGCGGAAAACGCATTGCCTGACTGCTATTGGCCCGTTGAACAAAAGGGGAAGTAGACACCCTTCATTTCTGCATCAAGCTACTCTCTCAAAAGCATGAGAGAGGGAGTGTTTTCAAACAAAACTGACCCTCTCCAAAGCCTCTGGCTGCTTGTCGGCTATGAAAGGAATGGCTTTTGTCTGGTGGAAGGAGGGGGATTCACACTTTCTCAACACAATTTCTATTTTATTTGGAGAGGAGAGGTGAGCGGACCAAATCGGTAATGCGACTGGAACGTTCTCATTTGTCGAAGTGAAGATGTTTCGCTCCGAGTGGAGATCATTTCGATTTTCACACTTAAACATTTCAATTATCAGACAACAGAAACCGAGTTGAATTTGATTACTGAGCAGCATGAAGGGTGACACAGGCCGTTTCCTTTCTTTCTTTCCTTCTTTTTTGTTCACATATGTTTAAAGATTTTTCATCATTCACAAAGCCGAATGCAAAAAAAGGGATAAATTTGTTCCTCTTGGCGTGCGCAGTATGTGTTCCAGTCATCACAGAGGTTGAATCAAATGGGACTGAGAAAGCAATTTGTCTCATGCAGTCTGGTCTTGTGTTCCACTCTCCAGTCCTGCTGTTTCAGCACAGAGGAACAGAAGAAACATGCTGAGTTAACAGACCTGACCTGATCGGGCTTTAATTCCACAAACCTCCCAATACTTTTAAAACTGTAAGCCTGAGAATGAGACATGGAAATATCACAGGTTGTACAATACTGTTCTGCTTAAGTAAAGATCAACGTCAGCGAATGTTTTGCAGCTGCTCTTAAACACATTTGAGCCAAAAGTGAATATTTTGCCGCCGTTTAATCACACAATCATGTCAGCCAAAACCTGCATGATATTATTTCTATTTGAGGACACAAATGGAGACTGAATAATGGAGGATGGAGCTTTCAGTCTTAAAATAAATGGTTCGAGTGCTATTTTACAGATATTTCAAAGTCATAAAGTCAAGTTAGGTGGCTCAGTGGTGGCACTGTCACCTCACAGCAAGAAGGTTGCTGGTTTGAGTCCTGATTGGGCTTGTTGGCATTTCTGTGTAGAGTTTGCATGTTCTCCCCGTGTTCGCGTGGGTTTCCTTCACGTGCTCCGGTTTCTCTCACAGTCCAAAGACATGCCCTGTAGGTGAATTGGGTAAACAAAATTGCCTTTAGTGTATGAGTGTGTGGATGAATGGGTGTTTCCCAGTTCTGGGTTGCAGCTGAAACGGCATCCGCTGCATAAAACTTATGCCAGAGTAATTGGCAGTTCATTCCACTGTGGCGACAAAGGATAAGGACAAGTTAAGGTGTCATTCATTTATTTTCCATTAAGTTCAATTTGATAAGATGCAAAGGTAATCGTGACTGTGAGTAAAACTATCAATGTATATTTAATTCATGAATGACTCATTTAGGTCATTTTTTGGTACCTGGTCACTTAATTCATTGAAAAAATATTTAAAAGTATTACAACTTCTCTTATAACATGCAAAGAGGAGCTAGTGTGGATGTGGTTGTTGTTTTTAGAGTCAGAACTAGTTTATGATGCTTTTTTTTAGTTTGGACATTTATAGCCCTATTTAGCTTTCATTATATTGTAAAGAATGGACGGAATATTGATTAAAAACATTGGTGGACACAAAAGTACATAAAAAAGTATTTTTCCCAAATACCTGTATTTAAAAACAAAAAAAGTTGTTGAGTTGTTTTAACCCAAATTTGGGTTAAAATGTAAAGAATGGCTGGAATATTGATTCAAAATAGTGGTGGACACAAACAAAGTATTTTTACCCAAATAACTGTTCATTCATTCATTCATTCATTCATTTTCTTGTCGGCTTTGTCCCTTTATTAATCCGGGGTCGCCACAGCGGAATGAACCGCCAACTTATCCAGCAAGATTTTTACTCAGCGGATGCCCTTCCAGCCCCAACCCATTTTTCGGAAACATGCACACACACATTCATACACTACGGACAACTTAGCCTACCCAATTCACCTATACCACATGTCTTTGGACTGTGGGGGAAACCGGAGCACGCGGAGGAAACCCACGCGAAGACAGGGAGAACATGCAAACTCCACACAGAAACGCCAACTGAGCGAGGTTCGAACCAGCGACCTTCTTGCTGTGAGGCGACATCACTACCTACTGCGCCTCTGCCTTGCCCCAAATAACTACATTTAATAAAATAAAAAAAGGTTGTTGGGTTGTTATAACCCAAATTTGGGCTAAAATGTAAAGAATGGACAGAATATTGATTAGAAATATTGGTGGACACAAACAAAGTATTTTTTTTACCCAAATACATGGATATAAAAATAAAAAAAGAGTGTACTAGAGTGTACTTTTTAGAGTATACTTTGCTACTTTAAAAAGGATAATATAATGTACTTTTTTGCACTATACATTTTATAAAGTTTCTTTCAGGGCCTGATTCATGAACATGCTAATTTAATTTAAATCTACTTGTAAATTAGCTCGTTCATTGGCACATTTCTTTTGTCCTGTGCGATGTCAATTTATATTTGTATTTTCCTGATTTGTTATGTACAGTACTTGCATTATCTGTATTATATTTGTTATGTAATGCTCAATTTGTTCTACCACTGATAAAAAAAAAAAAAATGGTAAAAGAACCTCTTAAACCTTATCTTTAATAGTCTTACAGAAATGAACTGCACATTTTTCCACTAGACTTGAGCAAGTTCATTATTATTCAGATGCTTCTGAGAAATGAGCAGTTTGTTATTTGTTTAACAAGTTTACCATTTTAGATTTCACTGACCACCCATGTTGCAAAGCCATGACCTTGGATTTCAAACACTAGTCACTTGTTCGTTCAGTGCTCTATTCTCACTGTACCCCCTGCCAGGTAGTAGGTCATGTTGTGTGACCCCAGTGAAGACCCAAAAAAAGCCACGCTTCAGTCCTCCGTGGGGTGTCGGGGTGGACCTGCAATGGGCTATTCCAACTCACGCTGACCCTTAAACTGTGCCTTAATCTTCAGCGCAGGAGAATGGAGATCACTCTAATCTTCCTAAAGAGAGAGCAGGAGAGAGAGACCAAGAAAAAATTGGTAGAAAAATGAGAGTCTCATAAGCAGCCATTGTAAAGAAAGAAAGAAAAATAAGAGGGTGATCAGTGGATGCCAAAATAGTAAAAAAAAATACTGTAATCAGAGTAAAATGAAGTTTAAAATAATTATTTTGTTTAGTTCAGGGGTGGGGGCATCATGGTGGTGCAGTGGGTGGCATGATCGCCTCACAGCAAGAAGGTCGCTCGTTCGAGCCCCGGCTGGGCCATTTGGCATTTCTGTGTGGAGTTTGCATGTTCTCCCTGTGTTTGCGTGGGTTTCCTTCAGGTGCTCTGGTTTCCCCCACAAGTCCAAAAACATGCGATAAAGGTTAATTGAAAAAACTGAATTGGCTGTAGTGTATATGTGTGAATGCAAAAGTGTATGGGGGTTTAGCGAGCCAAACTAAGGGTTACCAAGGGCCAACTTTGGCCCATGGGCCTAAGTTTGGGCATCTCTGGTTTAGTTGATAGAGAACTTTTTGCTGATACGTTTCATTAAGTCAGCATGTAAGAATGATTTTCAGAAGGGTCATCATTCATTAACCTTCAGCTTAGTCTCTCTAATTTCAGAGGTTGCAGAATGAACTGCCAACTGTTCCAGGATGTTTTACACAGCGAATGCCTTTCTAGCCGCAACCCAGTACTGGAAAAACGCCCATACACACTCATTCACACACACATTAGTTTATTAAATTCACCTGCAGCGCATGTCTTTGGACTGTGTGGGAACTGGAGCACTCAAAAACTCAATGCTAATGCCACACAGAATTGCCACCTGTCCCAGCCGGGACTTGAACCAGTGACCTTCTGCAGTTATTAACACATTAAACTATTTATTATATCTTGGATAATAATAATAACATGTGTTTCACCAAATTAGCACATTGTAATGATTTCAGAAGTGTTTGTATATTACAAATAAAATAGATTTGTCTATATATTTCTTTCAGACAGACTGAAGAAGGCGTTGAGCTGAAATGTTTGTGTATATATCTCTGAAGATTGTGAAATCAAATAAATTACTCAATGAGGGTGGCACGTTGGCACAGCGGGTAGCACTGTTAACTCACAGCAAAAAGGTCACTGTTTTGAGCCTCGGGTGGGTCAGTTGGCATTTCTCTGTGGAGTTTATATGTTCTCCTCGTGTTCGTTTGGGTTTCCTCCGGGTGCTCCGGTTTCCCCCACAAGTCCAAAGACATGCGATATAGGTGACTTGGTACACTAAATTGTCTGTAGTGTATGTGTGTATGTCCTGGTCCTTCAGGTTGGGGGTTGAGCATTGAGCTTATGACCCACCTCTTAAAAATTAGATGTTAAGAAACACCAACATGGTGTGGCTTAATATCAACTTCGATATAAACAACCGAGTGCGGATCATGACCTTCTGAGTTATTGTTTATAAGATTAATTAAATAACACAGTAGTGCAGCAAAGCACATACTTCACTATTGAACTATATATTTATTTCCTCAAAAATAATCACAGCAAATATTTGCTTATGTTGTAAAATTAAAAAGTCAAAAATAACTAATAAAATTAGATTAAAAAAAAAAAAAAAAAAAAAAAAAATATATATATATATATATATATATATATATATATATATATATATATATAAATATATTTCTTTTTAACTGCACAATGTCTTAATTTGTTAACTGAGTTTCCAAACCAATAAACACATAAAATTTTTGGTTAACTGTAAATTAACCAAGCCATCTTATTAGTTTTGACATCCAGTTAGCGCCCACATTTGACCTCACCTGACCTCACACCTTTAACTAACTTGAAATGTATTTCATCCAACCAGATTTAACAGACATTCAGATGATGCTTTCTTAAATCTCTTTATGACTGTTTCACAAGTGGAACTTGGACTTTAAATTAATCAAACCCCAATTAGATTAAAAAAATTTCTCAGGGATGGCGCCGGGGGTGCGAGGGGTGAAGGGTGGGCTTGCTGGAGAATAGAAGGCCAGGGGTGTGAGGGCAAAAGTTCTGCTTCAGTGGATCACAAAGCAGGATCCACCCCATCCATCCCCC